GAAAGGATCTCGCAATCTCTACAAAATCTAGACACTTCAGTTTGAAATAGGGAGTGCAGTGCAGATATAGCAGATACTATCTTTTCTTCTTAAACCATATTTATATACATTTATTTTAAAAATATATTGCTCAATATATATTTATTCAACTTTTTAATCATCACTCTAGAAGTGGTTAATGTGCAATGCTTGCTTAATGAGTTTTCATTGGGTTCCTTTTAGTAGTTAAAACTAGCATACTATTCCATTACATATTAAGAAGTACACAAAGTAGTCAATCTTTTGCACTTCAAATCTCTTAAGTATTGCAGTAGTTCTGAAATCCATCAGTCTGTGTAAATAACTTAAATTTAGAAGTTCTCACTTGCATTGATTAATTTTTACTCAGAGATTGGTTGAGGAGTGAAAAACTCAAAAACAAAGTTAAGGGCTTGTACCAAAAGCCTTGCCTGTTTTTTCAACAGACAATGACTGCAATCTTTCAAAGGCTATCCAATGAACTAAACTAAGGAAAGAATTGCCTCTCCATTAGTATCACAGGCTACTTATGTCAAAAGTTGCTTATTGTATCAACAGACTCTGGCTCCAGACATTAATCAACAGCTTCTTGCCTGCCCTGTTTTTGGGATTTTATTTTATCAGCAAAAATACATTGCTTAAGACAATTTATATTTGAAATACAGTCATCATGATTAAATTCATAGTAATGTTGAAAGTGTGTTATTGTAAATGCATCAAAACATTTAAACAAGTACTTATTTAAAAAAAAAAAGTCGTAAGCTATTTTAATTCATGTTGTAGCCTACTCTTACACACTACCATGGAATCCTTCCGCTAAGGCACTCTTGCTGATTCTCATACTTTCTTTTCACTTTTTCTCCCCCAGTCCTATCTTGAGCAATGTGCCCACAACATAGAGTAAGGTAAACTTCTTTTCAGGGTTTCCTCCTGAAGCCTTCTAGACAGTGAGTTTTCCCATTGAGGAAATTCTTCCACGTCTAAGTTCATTTAAGGCTCCCATTGAGGGTGGTAAAAGGATTCAAGTTCTTTCCCCTCATGGGATTTTTCACTTAATACTGCATTCCTACCTTATCTAAAGAATCTCTTCTCTACAAAGCACTGTCTACTTGCAAGTTGGTAGTTTTAACCCTTACTTTTACTTCAACATCTGGTTACAATCTCAACTGTTTAACCACCCAATAACAATTAATTTTTCGCAGATATTAAGTATTCTGAAGAAACAGCATGAGAAAGGAACTTATGATTAGTTTGTCTGGGCACTGCTAGGTGCTACTAGAAGCATGTGAAGTTCCTGGCTTTGTGCCTGCATGGATGGAGTCATTTCACCCCATGGAATTTGTTTGCTCATCATTTTGAAGTTCATTTGTGTAGTAGCTACACTGTGGTTTTGTAAGCTGTAGACTAAGTTTCTAGTTATTCACTGTCATTTTGTCAAAGACCACACAGTCTTCCAAGTATGTAATACTAAAATTAACTGAGAAGATCATAAAAACAAACAAAAAGCAACCCTCCAAAACAAAATAACAGAACCACCACCCCCTCCCCAAACCATGGTTTTGGCAGGATTTTCTGTGTTTGTCCAGATAAACAGATGCTCCAAATTATTTTTCAGGCCACCTCCACCATGACGTCCAGTTATTTTAAGCAATAAAATAATGTTTCGCTAACTGAAAACTTTGCAGATTTTACTTACATCTAGAGAGCCTTCATTTATAACAATTAGTCCCATGTTCTTTCTCAAAAGTTTACAGGAGTGACCTGTTAAAAACATTTTTGTTTTCAAAAATTTGTTCCACAAAATCCATTATAATATAACAAAGCATTTTTTTTTCCTGTAAGAGAACTACGGACAGAATTAAAAATAAGACTTCCTCAGCTGAAATCAATGGTAACGAAAGTTATACTCCATTCCATACAAATTCAACATACAGGTACTACGTCAGAACAGTCAGAATTTTCCTTGCTGCAATTTGCGACTGTTGTGCCTTGTTCACAGAGGTCCTCAGCAGAAGGATAAGAAATATCTTTGCAGGGAGTTAAGGAAAATAAATCTCCCTTAGCCTTGCAAATTTCTGGAATGGAACTTGCATTTCATAAAAAATTTGCAAATATACATGTTCCAATTCTTTTATTTTATTCTTTGATGCTTTAAACAGAATGCATTCTGTGTGCTAATGATGCAGGCTGCCTAGACAAATATATATCACCATTCTTAATAAATTAAAAATACTGATATTGCATATATTGCCTCAAACCTGAAGATACTAATGAAAATAATCTTAGATCAACTGTATCATGTGCATACAAAAAGCTGTTTAAGATTAGAAATAATAATAGTAATAAAAAAGATTCATACGACCAAAAGAATGCTTTATTTTGCGCACATATCTAGGCTACTGCAGAAGTGCTGATAAGCTCACATGCAAAGAATATTAAATCTTAAATGAAGCTTTCATGTATTACTATTTAAAATACCATTTAAAAATACAGATTTATCACTGTTGAAATTAGTTAATTCATGATTTTTTTTTTTCATCCTTTATAATAAAAGGAAAAAATAAAAGAAAACCTCTGATTGATGGTAAAGTTTATAGTACTTTAGTGCACGATCTATATTGTTTTGCTTTAGTTAAGATTACAGTCCCTACCAGCTTTCTTGGAAAGAAGGAAACATATAGAAGGGAAACTAAGAATACTTATATTTTCTTAATATTATTCCCTATCACTGTCAAAATTCAAACAATATATTCTTTTTAATTCATTTGAGATTCTACAAAAAAAGCACAAATGCCTATTTTTTTCCTCCTCACTATGATAACATGAATTTTTCTTGCTGTTACTCTTTTAATGGAGGAAGAATCCATCATTCCCCACTCCCCCCCTACCAGTGACTGAAAAATAAGTTAACATTTAAATTCTGGAATGACATATAATATTATTATTTTTCAAGATACCTTTCTGTTCTGAAAGCAATTTTACTCTAGCAATTTCTATAATTTCTAAATCTGTAACAAAGCCATCAAATAAATGCAAAAATAATACCGATGTTAATGGCAGTTTCTTGTTTGTCCCCAGTAAGTATCCAAATTTTTATGTCTGCTTTCATGAGCGTCTCTATAGTTTCAGGCACTTTGTCTTGTAGTTTATCTTCAATTGCTGTTGCTCCAAGCAGCTGAAGATTCTGTGAACACAAAATATACAGTACATGCAACTTTTTTGGTTTAAATTCATTTTTTTGTTTAACTTTCCATATTTATGACAAGATTAATGCTCTCTAAATTCATTAATCAGAGTTGGTATCAACTAATAAAGATTTTCCAGTTTATTCCTATGAGCTTTAAGGTAAATACGTATGAGGCTTGACAAACTGCACAGCGTGACCACTCAAACTTCACCCAACTATTCACAAGCTCAGTAGCTTGTTCAGCAACAGCTACCTTTTCCTGAGGGGCACCTCTCTGAGTTGAAGACTTAAGGAGTGCTATTACTATGTCTTCTCTCACTTGTAATGATTTCTCTTCCCCTTGTAAAAAAACCCAAACCAAAACCCAAACCACCACACCTTTCACTTCAACTTAATTTTAAAATTATAATCTTGATGATGTTTAGTTTTAACTTCCCATACAGCAAATCTATATGGTTTTTGTGAATACAGTCATTTTTATACTTCATATTTCTGTACATTTAAAACTAGCTAAAACCCCATTAACGACAGCGCTACAAACCTAATAGTGTGCAATCCTGCAGCATGGCCTGCATACTACATACTAAGAAAGTACTTGTGCAGCTGATACAGAAATTTATAATGGTAGCAGGGTTGCCATGGCGTTAAAGTTACATCGTTTTAAGACTGTCTTGTGCATGTCTGGATAGACTGCTCATCTATATAAATTGAAGTCCCATAAGTGACTGAAGCTACATACCCTCACTCGTCTTTCTCATGAATTAACACTGCAGGTTTTTGAGGCTCTGAATTTTAAGCAGTTTCATCAGTTTAATCTTTCTTATCCTTTCCAAGGGGAAAAAAAAAACCAACACCAAAACCCTCCAAAAAGTCAAGCATCAAACAAGCAATACTGGTTTCATGAACCCCTTTTGCTTATACGTTTAAGAGACACAGGAGACTTTTTTGTTGAGGCAGTGAAGTCTAACCAGATGTTTGGCTACTCCAGCAGCAGCGTTGCCAGAAACCCAAGGGCAAGTGATTATGGCTCTGTTCATGTGAGGTTGCATCTGGGTATTACCTTCCTTTCTGGACCTTCGGTACAAGAGAGGTTGAAAAAGTGGAGTAAGTCCAGCGGAAGGACAAAAAAAATAGCTTTGGGTCTGGAGCACACTATGTTAAGAGTGCCTGAAGAAGCAGGGCAAGTTTAACATGGGGGAAAAAAAATAAGGGAGGGATTCCATGGCTGCCTTCTACTAACTGAAGAGGGCTTGCAGAGAAGCCCTCTTCTAAGAGACGCATGGTAAAAGGGCAACAGTCACATTCTGCAGCAACAGCAATTTTAATTCAGAAAAAAGTGACTACAAAAAAAAATTTGCCTACTGCAGCTGGGGAAACTCCCTCCTTGCAGATTCACAAAACTTCAAAGTGCTGGGCAAGCAAAATTGACCCTGCTTTGAGCAGGGATTTATATCTAGATGACCTCCAGAAGTCCCTTCCAACCTTAACTACTCCATGGTTCTACGATAATTATATAATGAAGCAGATGTTTGCCTGTTATTAGACTTTTTTACACAACACAGAAACTCTGAAAAAAGCTTCCCAGTAGTTCAACTCAAAATCAGTATTTTCTGGCAAGGTAGCTACTTGCTGCAAAAACTCTGTCAAATTAATTTTTCCTTCATTTTGATGATCTAAGCTGCAAGGACTACGTGACATGGCTGTCAGTATATAGCTAGATTTTTTTTTTCTGTCTAAGCATTATTCCTCAATAATGATTCAGATTTCATAGTATAGAAAGCAAGGACATTAATTAAAAAACCCCCACTCTCCTCGCCTGCCCCCCCCAAATCCCCAGAAAGCTACACATACTTTTTCAATTAGTTCATAGCTCTCCTCAAGTTTGAGTGCTCTGTTTTGTATAGCTGTCGAAGCACGGTGGTAGACATCTAACCACTCTTGATAATCACCTTCTGAAATCTCAGCCACAGCAAAACACAGAGTTCTTAAGCCTAAAGACAAAGCAGATAATAAGTATGATTCAATGGTTGTTAGTTCCTTCCTTGATATGCCTACAATGAGTAACTACTAAAAGCTGAATTTATTCTGTATTTTATGTATGCTTATGCCTGATTTTCAACTTACTGCTGCATGTCTTGAAGAACTTTTTAAAATATATATAAAGTAAAAAACATGATATAAATAAAAAATTATTCAACAGAGTAACTGTTTCAAAGTAGCTGAATGTAATAGAGGTGATGTACTTCAAGGGGGGGGAAAAAAAAGACAAAAGTTTTACACAAGATTCAGCTTATCTTAAACTGTAAACAACACAGGAAACAATCCTGAATGATACTTGCTGAATAGGTATATACATTAGATTTTTAGGAACATTAAAACTATAAGATTGAATTATATTTCCTAACAAAAATTTTATAAATATAAAAGTTGCTATTCTGGAAAGCAATAAAGTTAAAATATATCAGCATAATGATGCAACTACCCTCTTCTTCACCCCTTCTCATCCTTAGGAAATTCTCGGTTGAAGTTTGAAAAGCTGACTTTGAATATGGTCAGATTTAATTTTACCATATCACAGATTGTTTCAGTCTTCCAAATTCTTAAAATAAAACCTTTGTGTACAGGCAACATTTGGAGATTTTGCTTAACAATCTCTGAGCTGGTTATACTTAACAGATTTTTTTTTCCTTCAGCTGAAATCTGAATTAAGCACTACAGTGAGAATTTGAGACTGCAAGACTATAAGAAACATCTATTTTTTAACAACAGACATTTACATTCCATTTAAGTAGCTAGGTGTGAATGTTCTAACAGTTCATTTTCACATATTATCAGATTCTTCGATTTCTAGAGCATGAAACTGGCATAACTCTTTATACACTGAGAAGAGCATTGCTCTAGTCAAATGATGTTTTATGAAGCCACCATTTGCAGGCAGGTGGATTTAGGAGGGGGATGAACAAGACTAACGCAGCTAGTGCCTTTGGTCATTTGCCCACTCTGCTCTAGGAGACAAACAGCACCATAACCAGGAATGGCTAAACGCAATCTTTATTCGTTCACAGGTTTCTATTGTGTACAGCGCAGCACCAGCAGCACTACTGAAATGATCAAGAGGCTGGGCATGAAACAATACATATATGCCTTAGATGTAGAGACAGTAATTTAATATCTTCATGATGAAAACCATGTGTAATCCTAATATCTTGACAACTGAACAGCATTAGGAACCCAGCGTCTCACCAGCTAGACCTAGAGAATAAACTTAAGGATGACAGATCAACTCTCTGTGTAATAAGGATATGCCAGCAAGGTCCAAAGCAATGAATATGAGGTGAAGGGGAGGAAAGGAATTTATGACTAATAGTGATACTATTTCCACAATTTTTTCAAAATATTTTATGCAGATGATAAATCAATGTGCATGGAATATCATCAAACAAGTTTTTCAAGGCATTTGCTTTTATTTTTAAATTGGAGACTAATTATTTTTTCTATTTTTAAGTTTAAAAAGTTTATTTTCATTGTGATTTTAAAGAATCTTCCAAATGAAAAGTGGAAAACAAAATATCATACATCTGCTTCTTAACAGACTGGAACAACACCACAGGAAAATTACACACTTTTTCTATTTATCCAAGCAGGCATTAACACTCAAGCTTAATAAATGCTTAAATATCAATGCCAGCCATGCTAACCACTTCGTTTTTGAACAACACACCAAGAGCATGCAGCAAATGCCAAGGACATACTGTACTGCCACATGAAAGGATACTCATGAGAAACTTTGCAACATCATCGGCTGCAATTTAAATCTGATGCAAAAATAAATACTGATTTCTTTATTCGATTCCAGAGAGAGAGGTACTTAAATTCTTTTTTTGAAGATTGAATTTTATGCTTTTGAAGGGTTAGCAGTTCACTTTTCTGAACAGTAAATCTTTTCATCTGTTGAAAGGGAGGGTACAGAAAGTACTTGAACAAACTTCTTAACACTAATACATATGTACAGTGGTTTTGAACACGGGTGGAATTTTTCACTTTTTATGTTGATTCACTCGGTCCAACCTGACTGCTAAGGAAAAAATTATATCAGTGGTACCACTGATTTAATAAAACAGTAATTAAGGATTGAATTTAAATTTTCGTATCAGTTCACACAGGATAGCAGATATTGATCTGTTTTTACCTTTTCTGTAATGAAATATATAGCCTTATGACCCAAACTAACTTCACATCTAACTTTTCCTTGACTGATCCTGGTTAGGCCTTTATAAAACCCCAAAGTGGCCAATCAGCTCACACAACTAGATTCATGAGCTCAGAGGGTCTATCTGAGGCTTCATGTTGTACATTCAGTTAAATGTGTTTGGTTTTAGTTCTGCTTTTAACTTTATTGTATAATTTATTGTAACTTTAATACATGATTATTTAAGGCTAACCAAATCTTTCCTGCAGAGATCCTGATACGGAAAACTAACAAAAGAAACAGATCTGTGGCTTCCTTCTGCTGTCACTGACAGAATCAAGAGACTGAAGGTGCTGACTACAACACTAATCAAAAAGCTAAATTCCATTATAAATCAAAAAAGAAAAATTGGAGTAGTCACACGCATAACAGACAGAAAAAGGATCTTTCCTGATACAAGATTTGGCCAGACATCAGTTATCAAAAGGTAAGGATGGTATTTCAGAAGGAAAATATTTCAATAAAGTTTGCTTTCCAGTGTTAGCTTATTTCTTCAGACACACTAAAGATAATTTTAATGTTCTAGTAACACTGCATTTAAAAAAAAATGAAGAGGTAAAAAATGACAGTTCAAATTCCCATAGCTATTATAATACTGCTTCCAACTACTCTCTCCAACTCACTGATAAAGTAAAACACTATGGTATTTCACAGTACAACTCTATAATCCTTTACTAAGATACCAGAAAGAGGGCACGGCATGGAAGATCTAGGAACTGTGCTAGAAAAACTTACATGAAAGCAGAAACCTTTCTACAGTCTGCTTTCCTGCTCACGTCTGTACTGTGGAATCCACTATTATTAAGTAACTAACTGGCTGTTTGTATCAATCATCTTAATTTCACAGTCTTTTAAATGTTGCTTACTATTCCTACTTCATGAACCTTCATGGAGGGGCTCCCCACTTCAGCAACTGCTTTAAAACAGTTAAAACAGCACAGATACCAAAACACACCGTGTAGAAAACTAGTACTGGCAAGTCCCCTTATTGTGACTGGTGACAGAAAAAAAATACAGCACAAAGGTACCTTAAAAGCACTACACTAATCATTTCCAAGCATCTTCACTTTGGCTACTTCTTCCTGTGCGCCATCCCTACAGCATTCATTGTGTGTGGGACATGAAAGTGATCATGGGAGATGAGATCTTCACAGAAACAAACAACATGCAATGTGTTTGCTCTCTGGGAAAATATATTTTGTTTAGAAGACTCCACTGTGTACTGTGTGGGTGGCTTTTTAACCGTGAATTTATTGCTAAAACTTCTCAGGAAAAGGAAGATCTTTTTTATGAGGCATTACTAAAACATAATTTTCAAACTTAACATGAATAAAACATTACAGCAACATAAAATTGCAAAACTGAAAAGTTCAGCAGTAACTGAATTTCATATTTAGTTTTATATTGAATAATATCACCCACCTTCTGTAGCAAACTGCTCTAGATGTTTTAAGGTGATTTCTTTGTATTTTGAACTTTCAGCAAGACGGTCATAAATTACAGTATCCTACAAAACAAATAAAATTAACTCAGAACAATTTTAATAGAAAAAAATAGGTTTTTTGTATAGATAATACAAATCATATCGGAAAACGGTAGAAAAATGTGCAGCACTGTATTAATTTATTTCAGCATAAAAATGAATAGAACTAATTTTATTTCAAATGAAAAAAGAACATTCCAAATCCTCAGATTCTCTAAATTTACAAATTCTGCTATGATGCAGTTTTTCTCTCCTACATTTTCTGCTGTTGATTTCTCTTCATTTTGAAAAGTGCTGCATCTTCTTTGGCTTGCCACGTGAATTCTTTTGATCTCCTAAAATACCGTCTTCCTCTTTTGTACTAAGCTCAGAAGGTAAAATTAGTGTTTCATAACTGCCGTTTTCAGGTTTTTGTAGCCAGCTTGATATACAGAATATTAACAACAGCTTCTTCTCTCCACTTGATATGATACAAAATGGACATTTATAGTCAATCAATTTCACATTTTGTAAACCATTTGGGAAATAGATTTGCATCCCCCTTCCCCTCAAACTTGACTTAAGATACAGAACAAGCACTAATGAGCAACTCTGCCATTCCCAGACACATTATGATTAAGGTATCTTCCCACATATCCTGTTTTCAGGAAAATCTACTTCTGGCATAACATCAACGGTAGGTTAAATTTCCCATCTAGTCATTTATGCTAGATTACTATTTCTACCTAGTGATTCATGCTCAGGTACTCTAGCAAGTAACTAATAGATTAAACCATATATTCATCCATCTTCTCAGAGTACAGAAGGAAGAAATAACAGGAAGCATAAAGGTACTAGTCCAGTACAGAGAATAGGATGAACAGGTCTGTCATACCTTAATGTCTTTTTTTTTTTTTTTACTAACTGCCTATGAATTAGTTCATCACCTTAAACAGCTACATAATAAAATGACGTAAATTGAAAAAGGCATCAACATTCCTGCGCCAAAATTTTCAAGGTTTTGACTGCAGTTATAACAAAGTTTTGCTTTGGTATTTGTATTGGTAGCACGTGTTCTTTGATACAGAATACAACTCACAGCTCCTTTGCAGTAGAGTCTTAACTTTCCCGATGGCGTGCGAACTATCACTGACATTCTCTTCCTAGCACTGAAAGAGAAATAAATGCCCTGTATAAGGTGGTTTATAAATATAAATATTTACTAACATTTTACCTAAGAATATCAATATATAACTTAATATACAACAAAGGAAAAGAAGCAAGGGCTGAATTATGTTTTCAGGTAACTGGGACAGAAAAACAGTTTTACTGTCTAATAATTAGAGTGAATGCTGTCTTTCTGTGTATACTTCTGTAGGCTTTTTTCCTGTAAAAACAAATATGAGAATCTTCACCTTCATGTGACTATGGGTCTGCTGATCACAAAAAAGCATCTTAATGCACAAAGAACTTGTGACCAGTATCATAAAGAGGTAGTCCATGACAGACGGTTTCATCTTTTTCTTCCTTCCCAGAGTGTCTCGTACACAGTACTGTGCTGCAATCCTATTACTGTCATCCCAGAGTTTCATTTATGACATGAAGTTTTAAGTATGCTAAGAATTGGACAGGGGCTCGTCTCATTTTAACTACTGTCTGGGTCTCGGTCATTCATAAGATCTAGGTATTTTTTCTTTTTGTCCTCATGACTGAAGTAGGAATTGGAGGAAAGCATGGAGAAGACAGTCACTCTCCGCTTTCTGTCTTTCCTTTGCGGTCCTCCAACGAGCATACTTTAGATTCAAGATCATGTCCAGTCAAAATGAGTATTTATAACAATGCTTTCAAACTTCAACATTTAAAAAAAATCCACAGAAACTATTCTGTTTGTCACATACAGTAAAATACAAAAAAGAGATGGAAGTAAATGCTCCTATCACGATTTTGGTTCCTGTTGGAACAGGATCCCATTTATACATCAAATAGCATTATTGTATGAATGGTTCCTGAAGTTCAGACTGCCATGGAAAACCGCCTTTAAGTGTAATGGGGATAGGTGGAGGAAAAAATTTTATAATTACTGGTGAAGTAAGTGACTGAATAGTATTTTCAAGAAAATATTTTCCTATTCCACCTGTGCATGCACTTTGCTTCAAGTACAGACATCTGAAGAGCAATATTAAATTACATTTTTTCTGTGAATATTGCACGAGAGCATAAAAAGGCATTAACTCCTGCAACTCTTTTCCCCATTTCATCTCTAATTCAAAAAATCTCAGATAAGCAGAATTCCAAAAACCCTTAGACAGTGTCCATTGGGGATCTGCTTAGTCAACAGTGGAGAAACTCAGATCATCTAAACTTGCCTAAAGTTGCCTAAAATAAAAGCAAGTCTCAGATCCACTTTGATTCCTGGCAAGATTATCTAGCCTATTGCTACTTAAATTCATTTCACTTGCCTGAGTGTTCAGTTAAGTAACTGTGGAGGAATTACAGTAATTTAGGGTTTGTATAAACAATAATTTGATATATATGCCCTTGACAGGCAAAAACTCAGCAGTTTTGTACTTGTCTTGCAATACCAGAAGATTGCAATCCTAAAGTTCTGCATACAGCTGCTTATCCATCTGCTGAAGATGTATCAGAGAATAACCAATGTTTTCCTGTAGCATTCTCAAACTTTAGCTATGAGAAGAGATATTGAATCTTGACTAGCACACATTTTCTTAGTAAAACTGAAATATAGCTAATGAGCAGGACTTAAACTGTCAAGGACTTCTAACTTTTTATGAGCCTTTTCATTGCAGTGACAGGTTTATTTCCTTTTTTTGGTGAAATGCAGAAAACTACAAAATTGCACTACTACAAACAAAAGAAAAAAATGGTCTCACACTGACAGTTGTTTTCTTCACCATAGAAGTGATGTCAGCAGCCTTAAAGGTGATCTGGTTATAAGGGGAAAAATACTGAACAGAAGATGTCTGCTGAAATACTGACAGAGAAAATGCCTGCCAGCCTGGGAACTGCTAGCCTGAGAACTAGGCTTGGGAACCAGCAACATCCTTGAGAAGCGCAGCTGGCACCTCTGAAGTACAGCTGGGCACCTAGAAACCGAAGACATCCTGAGATACCATCAGTAAGTGCAAAACAAGGAACTGTAATTGCAACTTATTGTCTGAAAAGGTGAAAAAGTCTGGAAAAGGGAGAAAACACCCTGACAACGTAGGAATCTGCAACTGCTATTGGTTGTTCCAGCTGAAAGAACAGGAAAACTGTGTGGAAAAATAAAAATTGGTTTGAGAGAAAAGAAAACATCATCTATTGGCTGTCCAAGGTGAACAACAGAAATTAGCACCATCTATTGACTGCTCCAGGTGGTGGTGCCCTATATCCCCTTATGTCTCTGCCATATAAAAATGACTTGCTTTTAACCCAAAATGGAGCCTCCCTCTGAGAACCGTCCCTGCATGGATTTTTCTCTGAGATCTCCTAGACAAGTTATTGGACCATCACCAGGAACACCTAGCTGACTCTAGACTCTCCTTCTTTGAAGTGAGACTTCGTCTGTCACTGACTTTGAGGCCCCACTCTTGGGAGTGGTTTGGAGAGGAGCACTGTACCTGTACTATTTTGACTAATATGTGTGTGTGTGTGTGCAGGCACATATAGGTTAACTCATTGTAAGTGTATTCCTCCACTAGTGGTAGTTTAGTGGCAACTTGTAATATATGGAAATATATACTTGCTACTATTGATTGCTGCTGCTATTAAAATATAAGTGTACGTACTTTATTATGAGTATACTTGCTTTACTAATAGTAATTAGTAGTAATCTGTAATAAAGAAATTTAGAAAATAAAGCCTCCATGTCCTTGTGTGCCATAGAATCCTGCAAACCCACTGTCGTGATCTCTATACACACCCACACTGTGTAACCCTTTGGGTTGTGACAAGGAGGCAGAATAGCTGGTAATTCCCATGGAGTTGCCATGGGATTATAGATGGACAGAAGCATATTAAGGGGACAGAAATACTTCCCTCAGTCACAAGATTTGTCACTTCCAGAAACCGGGAATGCAGAAGTAGCTATTAATGGGCCCCCTGTTACTTTAAAATCCATCTCAGGTTTAAGACGAAAATTTCTTCAGAGACTAGGGACATAACCACAGAAAACAAACACTGCTACAGAGGTTTTGATACTTCCTCTGTCAGGTTTATTTAGGTTTTAGACAAGAAGCTTTACTCTGTAACTATAAACTGCCACAGTTTCTGGCAGACTGTGGAGGTATGCTCCAGGGATACAGATGAAAATCAGTAATTAAATCAACAGATAGTACATACTCCAGACATAGCGATATTATTACTACATCCATATCCTATACTTGCCAGTGAAATTAATTCTGGTGCTAAAAATTCAATTCAGACCTCTAACAAAACAAGCAGATACCAGTCAAAACCTCATTCAGTAGGACTGCTAGTAATGACACGATGCAAGGACTGATGTGCAATTTGTGCACTGACAGTGGACATCGCTTATGATTACCAAAACAAAGAATCACACGCTCAAAATCATGCTCATTTTTGCAACTGGCCCAGGTGAAAAGACGGTGCACGTAGTCAGCACAGGGATGAGAGTAAGCATGACATTCTATGCTTCTGGATCCCCAGCTGACATAGGGCCTTGCCTCCCCCTGCCCCACAGATACATACCCCAGGAGTCTGTTTTGGCTTTCAAGACAGCTGCGGTTTTTCTATTTTTTACAGTTCCAGGTGACAGAATAGAATGGGAACAACACTGCACAATTCCTTCCTTGACAGTATGGGGAGCCCTGAACAGCAGAGGGTCTGAACAACTCTTCACTTCCTTGAACTGAGGGTACCACAGCAGTTGTGGCATCTGAGCAGAGTATCTACTGGAGGCAACCTAAACTCAGCACAAGTTATCAAGTCACTATTTGCTCCACAGAGATTAGCACTACATTTTAGAAATAACTGTCAGCTGGTTAAGGATTATCAGTTGCTTTTAGCATGCTCACCTGCCGTTTAGACTGAGACCTACTTCTTTGCTATGAACAAAGTAGAATTAGCATATTGCTTTAGTTTACCACTTCTCTCTTCACAGGCACAGCTATGATCACTGTAGAAGGAGAATACCATAAAAGACAACTCTACCAAGCATTCCTACAAGTTTTACTTCTGTAACATACTTCTCCGAAACCCTATCCCATCAAATGTTGACATGCTCCACTCTACTTGCAGAAGAGTCTTATCTGGCTTGTACTGGAAGGTGGCAAAGGATTAGACTGCATTCTTTCTGGGAAAAACTTCGAACACCTGGAAACTCTTAACAGTTTAATCATTACAGATTACTCCTCTGAAGGTAAATGCTCCTACCCATACAGACGGTGTTATATTTTGGAGCCAAAATTTCTCCTGCTGTGGAACAAGGGTGACCTCTAGTGCTTTCAACAAGTCAGTTCCAAGCAAAGCCAAATATTACAGAATAATAGTTTAGTGATTGGTATCCACCAGGAAACTTAATCCTACAGAGGTTAAGATTTAAAAGCAATTCTCCTTTTTCCATAAAGTATCACTATTTAAATTACAATTTTAGGCTGACACAGAAATTTTAAAATATCTATGAAATCAAGACAAAGATCAAAACCAGAAACAATGTTGGAATCCTTGACTACTACTCCATGAATGCAGTATAAACTTCCACAGATGTCAAATTAACAATAACGCACTTTGTGCTGCATAATTGCTAACATTCCAGAACAGAAAGTGAATGAAGCACCTACAGAAAAATGACACCATGGAATAAATCTAAAAAATTCCAAGTATATCCTCTACAATATATAAACAGAACAGTAATTGCAAGCAAAGACATTCAAAACTACAGAAATTACTGTCGCATTATTTTTTTCACTGTGATCTTTCTTTCTGTTTCACATTATTATTGCTATTATTATAACTATATATCTCTCTATATAGAGATACATCTATATATCTACATCTCTCATTTTACCCTATCTATACATCTTCAGCCCATCTCACCAGTATTGCCTTGGATTTCTATTTTTTGATCTTTTTGCTTCTTTAGCTAAGCTCACGGGAAACATAACAGGACAGGAAGAAAAACAATGATCACTTTCCGCAGGCACAATTACAAGTAATCATTCTAAGGAAAAAAAAAAAAAGGCTTCCTCTACATACAAATCCCTTCCCCATCCTGTGCCAAAGTAAGCAATGGGCCTACATGAACACTTAGAACACAGATGGCATACATGGATACAATTTAAACAGATAACAAGTGAAGCTGCATCAAGATTTCTTATGGGTGGGTACCTTCGTAATTCCGACAACTTTGACAAAAAATTTTTACTGAAAGCAAAGTATGCGATAAACTCAGTTTCCAAGAAAACTACGTGGCCAATACACTAGTGATGCTGCTCAGAAGATAATGGGTTTCAGTCTAATGTACTTAAACAAGTCATAACAATGCAAGTATATTTAGGGTCAAATGCAAAATTTCATTCCATCAGTCAAGACGAACCCAAGTTATACGTAACACTTACTTGAATCTTCCCCCGTCCCCAAATATAAATTTTTTAATGAATCACATGGTGCCAGGGCTTTCAGAAATACATTTAGCAGTTCAAATACTTTCCTATACTGTCTTTTCACATAATTTTTTGAAGTTTTGAGAGAAAGTTTTTTTTCAATCTTTGCACAAAAGCAAAAGTGAAAAATATTAGGCAAAAAGGAGACAACAGGAAAAAATATATGCCTCTGAAAATATTTTACAATAAAACCAGGTGTGGTCTTAATCGTGTACACTGCTTTGCCTATAGTATGATCACATATTAGAGAGATAAAAGCCATACAACCTGCATACTTTGCCTGTATAAATATAAAAAATGCAAACATTTTTACCCATAAGAGAAATTCATAAAGTATTTTCACAAAAAAACACTAGGTGCACAACATGCTGTTTACCTTGTAAATTCCAGGACGTTTAGCAGTTCATATCTCTCTTCCTGTCCCAACTGAAGAATAAAAAATTAAAAAAAAAAAAAAGATGAGAATGCAAAAAATCTCAAGCAAAAGAACCAAAACCAACCAAACAACACCTCAATAAATATATACCATGATGCAGTTATTCAGAAATTATTTAATACAGCAAGAGTAAATGCAGCAAATTATAATGTTACACCAATGTACTTACAGACTCTATGATTACTGAGTCAGGTGTCCTTCCAGTGAATACAAAACGAAGATGCCTGGCTGCTCTAACCAATGCTCCTTCATCTGTAAGAAGTCAATTAGTTATTTTGCAGATGTACCAGAAAACTGTTAGTTTACCCCATGATTTAATGGATGCAGTCCAAGTTTTTCTACTTTGACTTCCTTTTTGCTTTAGCGATTTTTAAGATTAGATGTGTGTCCTGGTTTTGGCTAAACCAGAACAACGTGGTGCTGGAAAGAATTTTGTTTCTCCTGTTAAAACTGATGAAATGAATTTACAGTTCAGAGAACATAAGCCCCCAAAGGAACACGCCTATCACGTCAGTAATGAGAAATCCTCTTCAAAGTACCTAAGCAAGCACCTTCCTCAGTGGGGCACTGGACAAGGTACATTTATTTTTGTGTAAGTTCTGTTTTAGAAGAGAAGAGTGATAAGTCATTCCTGCAAGTAATAGATAACTTCAATGCCTACATTCAGGAAACATTTCAAGCAGCAACCCAGTCTCCCATAGGCATCAGTTCTCTTCAAATGGCTCGGGATGTCAGAACAGAATTTGCTCACAATGCCCAGTAAAACATTGCCATGGCCCGGTTAGCTTTATTTATGGACCTAGCTCTGCCCTTGTCTTCAAATTGTTGAAGAACAGAATTTAGAGAGATAGCCATCTAGGAGCTGAGGCAGACGGGGAAGACAAAGGCTGGAGACACTCTGCGCTTCATGTCATTTCTCCCATAACAACTTCTCATAATACGTTAGCTCAGCAGAGCTGAGCATATAATTTTGCCTTGCTTCATAGTTTCCTGAATTCAAAAATTGTGAACCACAGTGGGCTTGAACCAGATCTTCTGCACTATAGTCTTTTCTCACTCTCTAGTAGAACTTCTCACAACTTTTATCCTACTAAAAACATTTCTTTTTAATTTTTGATTACAAACACAGTCTTTGCTCTAAATCAATGCCATGGTTACCAAGTACAGAATAGGTTCACAAGCAAGGACATCAATTTGTCACCTGGTTTGATTTCTATTTGCCTTTGAGCAGTTCTTTCAGACATCCACAGCAGTCTGAAAATACCTTAGAAGTGCTATATGGTTAACTACCCTTCACGCTTAGATAATCCACAGGACATCCATATGTATTTTCTAAGCAAATCAGAAAAGTCTAAATCCTTTTTAGACAAAACTGATTTTAGTTGACTCGTCTTTTTTTTTTTTTTTTTTGAGGGATATGTTTCCTTTTATAATTTTGGAAGATACTTCAAAAACAATAAACTTCGAATAAAATTTGCTTGTTGAGCTGATAGAATACTTTACTATATGTCCATTCAATTCTTTGAGGCTCACCTGGAGATGCTGCTTGATATATAATTTTATCACCTTCTCTTTCTGGAACTGCTGTATGACACACTGCCATCATTGTCAAAAACTCACATATTATAGGTGCAGTTGGCTAAAAAAAAAAGTCAGAGTGTGATTAATCATTTAGGCAATAACTAACTGGAATGTAATAATAGATATGGACAAATAGGAGTCAAGAAAAAATTAATGAAAGTTTTTAAAGAAGAGCGGAAAAATATCAGCAACTAAACAAAACAGACATTATCCATACACTAATTTCAGCATGCAGAATAATTGCTGCTGTACTTTGATACCAGCTATATAGATAGAATTTAGTGGCATTTGCTATCGTAACAATCAAAAGTAGATAACCAAGCAACAAAGAATAATTCAAATAAGTATTTTATAGGGAAGGCAAGTCTGAATGTTGTCTTTAAAGAGTTTTACTTAATTCACTGAAGTCTTTTTGGATGTTGTCCTTTTTACTAAAAATAATCCCTTTTACATTACTTTTGTCTAATACTGTATCGGTCAATACTTTCTACAAACTTTTAGAAAGATGTCACAGCTGAACCTGAAAATCATGTGGAAAATGCTGCAAAGTCAGGCAGACAGCTTTTAAAGGAAGATATTTAGATGAATGTCTCAGGCACTTCAGAGTCTACAAAGCTGAAACAATTTTAAATGATTTAGCCTAAAGAGGGGAAAAGAGCATATATAAGCAAAATAGTTGATTGTTTTTGACGAAAACAGCTAAAAACCTTAATACAGCTGAAATTTGCAAAATGAATGAACTGACTCCTGAAAGATTGTTCAAAAGAAACCCCAGCACTTCCCCTAAATAAGCTCAAAGCAGCTGTCACCTCAACTGAGTTTCTTTGTAGCATATTCATAGTATTTCAGATTAGTAGCAGACTAAGAATGTGAACAATGAAGGGAACATTGTAATTACTCTACAAAATACAACAGTCCCTGAAAACCTAACTTAATTCCATAGGGCAGAAACCCTAATGGGACCAGTTTCCTGTCCTCTTCCACCGAGGGCCCCCAGATCCTCTAAGATGTATTCAGAGGGCTGAATTACAGATTCTTTTCAAAGCACTAAATACATTTAATATACAGTAGTGAAACATCTCTTTGAATGTATGCCTGAATTTTTAACTTTATGTACAAATGCATTTTTATAGCTTGTATGCTCATTTTATATATACTTAACACTACGTATCTACCAGAAAACTTTCAAGACTCAACCACTCGCACACCAAGGACTCTCTAGACAACAGCAGTAACAGCACCATGCCTCTCACAAGCAGTTACTAGCACTAAAAATGGCCTGTGCAGGTAACTGTAAGAGCCCCCTTTGCTTTAGACACACCTGAGAGTTGCACTATGTCTAGCATTTAAGACTGCCCCATTTGTAGGAACAAAATGCTTCACTGTCTGACAGTTACCCTGAAATTATCCTCCTGGGAAGACAAAATTTAAGGAGGGGGAAGAAGAGTAATTTATTTACGCTCTTCAAAAAGAGAACAAACAGTTACACTACTTAAGGTAGGTGTTCTTGGTTATGACTAGGCAAAACCAACTCTCGTATAAATGACAAACAGAAAGTCATAGTGATGATACTGTTACTTAAGTCAAATCACAAACTAAGCTATTAACTTTCTGTGAAATGTGTTCTCTCTTGGAGCAAATACCAGCCTCTACAATGTCTGTTTCATTTTGTCATCTGAACTGATGATCTAACCTCATGGAAGCATGAACCCAAAAAACATGTATTATCAAGTTCTGACTCTTTTCTAATCCTGGGCACCAAAATACTAAGTCACGCCAGGATAGTAATTTAACTTGACTGGTCCTGAAAACTTTGATGGATGTCATGACATCATATAAACAGCATAACTAACATTAAAACACCCATAGAATGAAGAACACAAAACTACTATATTTCAGACTCATAACATCTGAATCATACTATAAAGGGAAAAAACCAAAAGAATAAAAAAGGGCTAGATCTAATTAACAAGTATCAGCAACAAACGATTATAAAAGTATTCATGAAGACATGCTGATTCTGTGTAAACACATAATTTATTTATTTTCCTGCAAAGAACATAATCTTTTGACTTACTGAAAGTAATAGTTTGATTTCACAAAACAATAGTAATTGTTTCTATGTAACTTACATGATTGCTTTGAAGATTCTCCAGTAAGGATGAGTCACTAAATGTTTTTTCTTCTCCATTTTGTGAGCCCTGCCTAGAAATAATTAAGTAGAAAAAGAGATCTTCATTAGCATATTCTAAACAATTCATATACAATCAACCACATTACTGTGCTAAGGTCAAATGCAAAATTTGGTTTCTATTGTTACAATAAAGGCTGCAATCACATACTGTGAGGAAGTGAAGTGAAAAGGTACATATTTCACAACTCCAAAGTTTATCTAATTTTAAGAAACCTTGATTTATAGAAATAAACTTAAATCCAGGGAAGTTTCTCTGCTGGCTTCAGATAATGCAGGATGAAGTAAAAATAAATCTACAATTTAAGACTGTGGCTTCTTGTCTTTGGATCTCTATAATGAGGTTATTGAAGAGACTCAGAACAAGATATGCCCAAAGAGATCACATTTCCTTGAGAAATTAGCAGTTTTTGAATATGTTTGCAAATGTTTGCAGAAAAGAAAGTCTGCTATCTGAAAGGGGTAAGGAAACTGACTTCAGACATCAGGGAAGTCTGCATGGAGAGGGTTTGTTTCTATTACTCACAAACAAAAACGAACCTAGTAAACTGATGGATAAAGAAGACACAGCAATAACGGTGAAATAGGAAGGGACTGAACAGATTCAAGGTGGAGATGGTTCTAGAGAAATAAAGTCATACACTAACGTCTCTCAAATTGCGCAAATCACCTGGCTGAAGCTGACAGCTCAAAAACATAGATACTTCTAGGAAGACTTGTTACTGCAGCTGACTGCTGAGGATCAAGACAATTTAGTTCAGTCTGAATCTGAGTGAAACAGAACAGTGCTGAAAAGTGAACCCAGTTGGATGAAAATATTCTTTTTTCATTTATTATGGATCTTGTCTTGGCTTACATAATCTTAGAAGACAGTGAACACATTTGGTGATTTAAGTTGAAGGGGGATGAAGGGACTGAGAGCAGTCTTGCCGAGAAAGGCTTGGAGAAGAAAAACTGGACAGCAGGTGGCAAGGTGTGCTCACAACCCAGAAGGCCAACTGTATCCTGGGCTGCATCCAAAGCAGCGTGGCCAGCAGGTCGAGGGAGGGGATTCTGCCCCTCTACTCTGCTCTGGTGAGACCCCACCTGCAGTGCTGCGACCAGCGCTGGAGCCCTCAGCACGGGAAAGACATGGACCTGTTGGAGCGGGTCCAGAGGAGGCCACAAAAATGATCAGAGGGATGGAACAGCTCTCCTGTGAGAACAGGCTGAGAGAGTTGGGGTTGTTCAGACCTGAGAAGGTTGTTCAGCTGGGGAGACCTTATTGTGGCCTTCCAGCACTTAAAGGGGGCTTGTAAGAAAGATAGGGACAGACATTTTAGCAGGGCCTGTTGCAATACGACAAGGGGTAATGGTTTTAAATTAAAAGAGGGTAGATTTAGACTTGATATTATGAAGAAAGTTTTCACAATGAGTGTGGTGAAGCACTGGCACAGGTTGCCCAGAGAGGGGGTAGATGCCCTACCCTTGGCAACATTCCAGGTCAGGTTGGACGGGGCTCTGAGCAACCTGATCTAGTCAAAGATGTCCCTGCTCATTGCAGGGGCATTAGGTTAGATGACCTTTAAAGGTCCTTCCAACCCAAACTGTTCTATGGTTCTATAAGCCATAGACATCAAAGGCAGTCTAAAGATTCTCTATTAAAACTGTAAGTGAGCTGTTTTAGTCCTGCAGTACCATGCAGGAATATAAAATGGCAGTACTTTCTTCATATAACCACTCAAGGACTACTTTTTCTAAAAACCGAAAGTGAGAAATTCTAAGAATCTTCATTCACCAAGACTTTTTTTTTTCCTAAATGCAAAGCAACTAAGTCTCGGAAGTGTCAAATGTTAACCTCAAAGATGTTAATTTTGTTTGGAATCTAAGGTTTAAGCTTTGTTTGCATAAAGCTTTCTGACAGGAAGACTTCAATGAATTTTCCAGATTCTCAGTGCTAAATAAAAACTATTTGCAGGTGTATGTTGTGTTCAAACAGGAAAACAATTCCTTCTAATACAAAAATCAATGATGTAAAAGATCTGGAATTCAGTACATTAGTTATTTTAGGACTAGAAATGCTACTGTCATAAACAGATACTATTAATTAAAATAGATTTACATACAAAAGTTTTCTTCTTAAGTATCTTATTTCATAAGTATTTACAAGAAGTTTATTATTACACATGTTTATAAAAGGGAAGTGCTTTTTTTTTAAACTACTGTTCAGGCATACAATTTATCCATTTCAGGTGTGCTTATAAAGATTGAGGCGTATTAGTCAAAAGCAGTCTTGTTTCATAAATATTTTATAAGCAAGCATGCTTAATTTCATGTAAGCATTGCATTTTAATGAAACCACTCACTTGTGCTCAGTTAAGCACATTTGTACATCTTTCTGCTACTCAAATGAGGATATTCAGGTCGGGTAAGATTTTGGGGTGTGCATGTGTGCCACTTTTTATGGATATGTGGGGGGATTTTTCAGTTGTTTTTTTAATCTAAAGAAAGAATTAATTCTAATCTAGGAAAGCAAGCTTTTTCCTTCAAACTTTTTAAACATAAGATGACACATCACAGTTTGTGTGACATATTTTGCTGTGACTTTCAACAAATACAATAATTTATGTATTATAATTGTAATAATTTAAAGACTGCAAATGACATCTTCCCCCCATATATCTGAGCATATTTTGAACAGTATTGCAAATATGTAGTTTAAGAAAGTATGACAAGGAAGTACAAGGCATCAGGCAGCTGGCAGCAGAAAGGAAGCTAGGACTTAGTCTTTCCTGAGGTATCCATTAAGAGATTCATGTTGGCCCCAAGTGTATTTGGGTGCTTTAATCCCTGGTTCAGCTAAGAACTAGGTAGTGCTAATACTCTAAAACTATCTGTAGGAAGTAAAATTTTAACAATAACTTATTACATATTTTTCACTCTCAGATATGGACTTTTTCACAAGCACGTTAGAGATTACTAAGTAACAGCAGAAGAGTGTGATCAAAGTTACCATAATACCAACTACCTTACTAAATGACAAAACTTTCTCTCCAATAAGCAATTTTGAATTGTACAGGATTGTCAGTAGAATAACTGTACTATACCTCAGTGACCCTATTAGCAATTCTATTCCAGAGTACACAACCTAATGCCACAGAATTCTGATGGCATAAATTTGTGTAAGGCTCTGTCAGTCTGCATCAATTTGAAGCCGAAATAACTTTTGAGTAAAATACCTCATATTTAGGTCTGTTTCTAAAAATCTCGCTCACTGGTTTTAAGCTTGACTCTTCAACAAACACCACATACTAAATCATTTTCAGAGCTTACCAATCATCTGAAGGAACACTATAATCCTCAGGCTCAGGGCAATGGCTGCACAAGAAGTAAGGGAAGAATAGAAACAGGCAGAGGAAAACGAATCACAAAAACTAAAAAATTGGATCACGTATAGAAAAAGAAATTAATTAATGAAATTATATTACTGAAGAAGTTTTAAAGGTATTTCAACGAAGTATTTTGCTAGTGCCTAGATAACAACAAATATTGCAAAAATACAATGCTTCATAAATGATAAATGATTATTTTTTTCAATTGAAAGCTTGTCTACTTACTAACATATACCAGCAGATATAAAGGCATTTACCCTCTTTACAGATCTTGCGTTATATTTCAACATACATAAATTGTTACAATTTCTCATTAAACAAAAAGTAGTTTTTTAATTATCTAAAGCCATGCTAGTGCAGCATGTCTGGCCGAGTTCACAAAATGCTGATGAACAAAGCTAGCCATAGCACATGAAGGACTCTGCCCTGCGATGACACAGGTTTGAATACATCATGATTCATAACACACTTAGAAAGAAGAGGCATGGAAGATAGAACAGTCCCTTTTACCCTTTTCTGTGTTCCAAACTTCTTACTTGCATCAATACAGAAAGACAGAGTGACTCTGTTCTCCGAGTAGCTATGAGAGATGCTGCAATGGCCATTCACTGTAAAGAGAAACTCTGCTTTCTGAACAGTGATGCTAATCAGAAAATCAGTCTATGCCTTTTAAAATGAGGTAGATGGGAGCTGGAAATTATAGCAAGAAAAAAAAATCATACGATTTTTTCTAAAAAATACATTCATACCTAGTTTCATAAAGGAGAAATTTGAGAATTTGTGCCATACCAACTTCAGATGAAGACTTATAATGAACCGAATAGCAAATACTGATTTTAAATGCCATTATCATCAATATATTTTTTTAATCTTTAAAAAAAGAAGTATACAAAGAATTTGATTATTCTTATTGATATTCAAAATAGAATTTGAAAATTGAGTTAGCTCAGAGCAGTTTCTCTGAAGTCATAAAATTAGTTCATGTGGTTGAAACTCAGCCCAATATATACGTGACACATGTTTATATACCTATTTGAAACATCACAGTCAGAACCATATTTTATTACAACTGTTAATTAAAAAAAAATCATCAGTATGGTTAATGCATTAAGGATCTAAGTTTTTTCAAAACTAAAAGCCTAGATTACTCTCCTGAAAATTAGGATTTTCAAACGGACCCAAATGATAAAGCCACAAAAGCCTAATTATTCACCTTTACTACAAGCCCCAAACTTCGTAACTTCGGCCTGATCTCTGCCCAGTTCTAGACTGAATGTGAGGTCCAGAATCTCACATACTGGTAAGCCACACTGGCATTTACAATGTAGGTGCTTCTGCTCTATTTATTGTTCTAATGATTTTTTTTCAAGTAAGCAGTCTTAGTTTAGAAGTTTAAGGCTTTTACACAACTCTGTTGAGGGAGTTGGCTGCAACTGCTGACGAGATAGTAAAATGCTTTCTTTGCATTTATTTGGAGAGATTTCTTAATAGCAACATTGATATTTGGAGTTATGCCCCTAAAAAGTATTCATAAAAGCTGTTTGGTGGCTACAGTACTGTAGTTCATGCTACAGTACTGTAATTCAAATTCTTGTTCATCCTGCATATTATTTAGTGCAAGAGCATGTGACTACATAAAATATGAAGCATGGACAATGATAGAAGCTTTTGCAAGTATGAGGAAAGACTTCTTTTTAGTAACAGTATTACACACACATGCATATTAAAGTTGTGTTAGAGTAGTAAGCCTTTGGTATCTAAACTTTATTTTTGTTACTCTTTGCAAAAAAAGATGTCATGATTGATGTGATGATACCTCTTATAAGCAACATTTCAGTCACAAACAGGCTCCTAGTTAGTGGATATTGGCAGCTGTTAAGTTTATTTTAATTGTAGTATTAATGCACGGGCACATATGCAGAGGCAGAGTAAAAGAAAGTCACACAGATAAAGAAAAGTATATAAGAAAACCTACCCATAAGCAACTCCTGCTACAGTACACTTCTTAAATTGCATGACATTGCATGTCAGGGTACCCGTTTTGTCAGAAAATATGTATTTGACCTAAATGAATGATAAAATTCATTACACATTAACATTCAGCAGTTAGTTACATATCTAGTACAACTCATGACTATCAACACACTAAATATGTTTACCAGTTCTGCAATCTTCAGAAATTTTTTATAGAAAAAAATAAACACAGTTCATAAACATGGCAGATACAGAGTCTTCATACCCATTTCCAAACAGAGCAATCAACTGAGATGTCAGCAAGCTTATGCTTGCTTCAGTGCATGGTGGTATACTGAACTACCCCTCAGTCTACATATTGTCGAAATGAAAGAAACTAGTGAAGATCAATGGCTTTGCTAGTAGAACTATTCCATTTCTGACAGAAAGCAGTATGGTAAAAGAAAAGTATCTATATGCATTTCTACACTCTTCTTTTTGACATAGAAATACCTTCTTAAAGCCAAAACATTAGTAAAAAACCAACAGTTCAGAAATGCCAAGTTGCAGAAATAGAAGAAATACGTTCCTTTCTACCTACTCCAGGTCTCTTATTTCCGTAACATCATAAACCCTTCCTCTCTGGAAACTATTACAGTATTCTAAAAATTGAAGCTGAAATACATCTATACGCGATACACTTAAATTTAGTTCAAACCTAATCTTAAGATAAAAGTTAATATATGAAGAAATGAAGTAGTCTGTGATGAAATAAAGGCTCTATTAGTCAAAGGTAAATTTCAACTTTAATTCATTACAATTTATTTCTCATTAAAAAAAAAAAATCACAGTATTCTTAATTAGGAATTAACTGCCTTATGCAGGGAGCTAATAAAGTTCCCTGTATAATTAGTAAAATTTACTCAGCATCTCCTATTTAAAGGTTCTGTTTGAGGGATTATGACTTAGTGAAGCCAGCAGTTAGAAGAAATCTTCTATGCCAGATTTATGCCTCAAACGGTATTTTTTGGTGTGGGCAGAATGGGAGAGCAAGAATTGCAGCTAAGAAAGCTCAACCTTTTTTTCCAACACCAGTTTTGCCTTTCTTGAAACCTGAAGATCTCTCCAGGGTAATCTTCTCTTCATTATGTGCAGCCCTCATGTACTTCAGAGAAGACACTTGCTCATTTTGTTAGCAGAGAGTCCTTTCGTCTCCCTACAAAAATCTGCTCAAATTAAAGGAGATCCCAGGAAGCCTGACTAGATCTTGGTGGTGAAGAAGACTTTGATGAGAAACTTAAGACATTAAGACAAGAACTGTTGATGTAAAAAAAAAGGAATGTGTCTGGGAATGTGAATAACAAACTAGCTGCAGCGAGAGAAAAAAACAGATAGATTGTGTAAAATGAGACAGAATTTCAGAAAGCTAAGTTCAACAGAGTCTCCTCCTCACTAGAGGAGCTTGCACTCCCCTTTAAGGCGAGGAAGAGAATGAATTTTCTGCTACCTGCACATACTCCTTAAACCCAGTAGACAAAGGCCCTGTCCTCCCCTATAGAGACCTGCAACTACTGTTTTCCCAAAAGGCAGATCTCCCAAGTATCAGTCCTTAAAATTGTTTACTACATGGATAAAATTATGTCATTATTTATTGTTCTTGGAAAGCTAAAACCAACTTTTACATTCCCATGCAATAAACTAAAGAATTAGTTATGAAATGCAAGAATATGTATCCTTGTGCATATAATACAGGTCAATTAAATAAGCATGTAATATTTTTTCCGCAGAATCAGTTTACCATCACCAGTCGGTGTAACAGAAAGTGTAAGGTTTAGCATGTTTTTAAAGCAAGACTGCAAATACAATTGGCTGAAACAGCAAATATAACATGTACTGAATCTGGAAGCATGCCCTGTGCCTCAGACACACTTCTACAAAGACATACTTCCATAAAATGAAAAACATATGATGACTGATCTCTTGTAAAAAGTCTAACTGATTCTTTAGTATTAAGAGAACTCTAAAGCAAAATGAAGAATTAAGCCCAAATTTCCAGGACTTAATTCAGCTGCAAGCCCCCATTTCATTCATCGCTTCCAGTCTTCAGTGGCAGAAAAAGCAGGAATGTATACAACCATGATTCAATCCTAGAGCATACCCACTGCCTCTTCTGAGCAAGGCAGAGTGTGTGAAAAAAAGTGACATACATAAGATGCACACTACCATAGTATATATACAGAGATTAAATTTTTGTGCCACAGACAGCCTTAATACTCAGAATTCCTCTGATTTTGTAACTTTAATGATACACTTCAACATTCTGTGATTACCACATGCAGATTAATACATAAAGCAGTGTTTGTTCATTTAATACTGGTTTCAAAAATTTAACTCCCACATATTGCAAGGTGTTTTTAAAAATATCTGACAAAATGAAGAGAATAGAAACAAGCCAAGACTGAGGCAAGAATGTAAGTTTTTTGAAATGAATCATCACATTATTTTAATAACTTACATTGTAAAACCACATAAATAATTTCAATACAGAGAGTTAGAACCAATAATTGTTTTCTACCTGTCCAAGTTCTTCGTTGAGATTGGAAGTACGAGCCATAGCAGCAGTGTCTGTAGGTTCATAATGCATGTCTATGTCCTACAGATAAAAAAAGTATATATATTTAAAAATTAGTCTTCCATAACTTATTACAAAAAATCTAGTATAGAAATAGAAAAGGTACGTGTAGAACAGCAGACCAAACATAAATAACTGTTATCTACTTATGATTATTTTAGTATGGGAAGCCACAGACACAATCAGATCATGACCAAGAGTCCCCAGAAAAAAACAAATTTCCTCTTTAAAACAAACATCTATATGATTGAGATTTTACTCTGATTATTTGTAGTGATCTGTATTACTGTAAAACTGTTTTATCCATGCATCTAAAATAGCTTTAGCAACAAGCAGAAATACTACATTGTAACACTTAGAAGTCAGTCTTATTTATTTATATTGTATGCACAACCAGTAATTTCTCAATAACAAGACAAATATACCTTGAGATAAAAACACGAAGACAAATTTAAGTGTACACAATAAATGTAGGGTACATTATAAGTGGTGGTTTGTTTTTTTTTTTAAACTTGTTAAAAAAATAATCAGAGTTTATTTTTAAATATAGTAAAAGATTAAAGCATTATGAAGTATGGCAATGTAGTGCAACAGATTGCAGATGACCAACTTCTCTATACCAATATGATACGCACACACACAAAGACAATGTTTAAGATAAAAGTCCAGAGTCCCAGACTAAGATAAATTAAGGACAACTAATCCTTCATGAAGTGAAATGGGGGGGGAACAGAAGTTAAAACCACCTTTCATATTTGTTGTGTAAACAGTTGCCAATCTACACGTTCAAAATGAATAAGCCTTTGTTGAATATTTATTTTAGAATACAGAACATAAAAGGAAGAATTTCATTGCATTCTCTTATTTGCCAACAATCTGTTCTATAGCACAAAAGAAATGAAGAAATCAAAGCAGCTGACTCTCGCGAACATTTAACTTTTAAAATGAAGCATACACTTCACCTGCTACTCCACATACACTTTTATCTACATCTGTGTGACATCATACCTCACACACACAGATCTATTTCACACATTTGATTGAGGAATCAGTTTAATGAGTTCAGAATGGTATGATTAATTTACATTTGGAAAAAATGGAAAAATTGAAGGCATGCTATTAAAAGAAGTTACATGGCTTTACGGAGAATACCTCACCCCCACCCCAAGACAGAAGTAAACCCTTCTTTTCCCCCATTAATTAATAAAGAAAAAAAATTAAAGGATGCCAAAATGATCTACATATTTTGTAGGCGCTAATACTAACAGACACTGGCTTTGTACAAAGAAAACTCATTACACTATGGCGGTGGTGGTAAAAATCAGCAAAATACCAAAAAACCCACAACGTGGGCTACGCTTAGAAAGAAGAAATGAAACAGGACAAAACGCCACTGGACTGAAAAACACTTTCTTGTGATCGTTCTGGATGAAACTGACACCTGAGTATTAACACTGAGAAAGTACAAAGCACATAAAAACATGTTCCAAAAAGCAACTTGCTACAGGTGTAAAAGCACTAAATAAAACTATTTATTATAGCCTTCTCAGATTCCAGTAATAATAGATAAGCACCATATTTAAGTATTTACATTAAGAAAGTCTGAAAAAAACCCATATACATAGACAAGCAATCAATCATTTCAGTTGTAAACACTTGATATGTCAATGCATATTGTAAAAATATTTACCCAATTTATGAAATATGCCTGGATAAATTTAACAACTTCAAGCGTAACCAACAAACTGATTGGAATAAGGTTATTGAAGAGAATGATAAAAGTCAAGAAATTCAATCCAAAGTTGCTTGCTCCACCATCTGCCAAAAAACAAAGCAAATACAAAAACAATTTAAGCTCATACTTTAAAAGTATGTATATACAATGTATTCAGAGTATTGCATTAACTGCTGATTTTTAAAATGTTCTAAGAAGAAACTTGAGAATTAATTACAGTATCACTTGCCTATAAATATGACCTTCATAAGAGTTGAGGATCTTTATAATAAAGTGTAGTTCAAATTTAGAGATGTTTGTCATCTTCTCCAATTTCTGAAAAGCAAACTTACCAGTGATTCCCTCTTTTGCTACATTTTAAGATCATGATCTGGGAATATCTATACATAGCAACCAAACTGTAAACTCTCAATTTTAGAGTTTTATATTTTTAAAGGGGGAAATATGGAGTGGAATTAATTTTTCCTCTGACCACTCTCACCACTCTGACTATTCCCTCCCTCCAACTCAGCAAAATACTATGAAAAAAAGGTAAATTCACATCACATGAAAGAGAGATGAAATTAGTTTAATGGAAGGTCTAAAAGAACTGGAAATGTGACTATTAACATGTATAACAAGTAGTTTTATACTACTTTTTCATTTTGAAGTTTTAAATAACTCTAGTAGTAGCACCTCAGAGAGGATGTGATTGGGAAATAACAGTCTGCTCTCCAGTACAGCAAAACGGTAAAGGATTGTAGCTTGCCTGTCCATATTCAAAGATCTCTCAAAGAAAAACAGCCTCAGACAGGCTTCCACTGCCTATGGGATGCAGATCTGGTTGTTACTCTGAGATCCAAGAGAGCGGGTTTTTGCTACTTTCATTAATACCAATTCCAGCATCAAAAGAAGTACAAGTCTAGAAGACCAGAGAGCTAACATTCACCATGACGTTTATATCCTTAATAATGACTACCAAGATTAAATGAAGTTTGATACCTATTGCTACCTGCAAATAAAATCATGTTCAGATATTTGTCGTTACCACTTTTTTAATGATCCACAGGCAATAGATATTTCTAACTAAATACTAACAGCATGCAGAAAGATGGGGCACTGCTGGGAACCTGTCTCACTACCACATAAAAACTAAATAACTAAAGAGAAAGGAGAATAAATTGCTTCTTACACATTAAAAATACCTGGTACAAGAACAACTATGAGCTGAACGCAGCCTTAAAGTGCATACTTTACAAAACCCAACACAATTTCATTTAATCATGGGGCATGTATCAGAAAATAAACTGACAAGCATGATCACTTGAAGAACACACAAAATATCAACGGCCACTATTTCACGTTTCTTTGTTCAGGAATAAAAACCAAAGCTTTTGAACTACTTCACTATACTTCACTACTGTGCTAACCACCATATTCTAAAAACTTTTACATTTCCCAGAAGAGGAAAAAAAAAAAAAAAAAAAGCACTGACAAGAAGAATGATATGAAAAATAACAAATGATGAAGCACATCTAATGCCATTCTTTTACATTAATGGAAATTGTCCATATTCCATTAATGATTTCACTTTTTGCCACCTCAAAATGGAAATACGGAAGTTAAGTTTCTTCCTTTTAAAAGAAAAAGTTTATTCCTCAGCATCAAAAAGAAAAGAAGAGAAGCAAGGTTTTCAAACAGAAATTCATTATAAATGCAGACAACTGTTTTGTTCAACAGAAACTTTATGAGAATGCCTTCAAATCATAATACTAAGTTTTTTCTTTTAAAACTGACCAAGCCACCCCATAACCCCTACGTTGATGATTACATTCAGCAGCTTTGTATTCAAGACACTGCTGTTTCAGGAGCAGAAAGCCCAGTTTTGGTTCTAATGTTTAAGTAAAGAAAGCTCTAGGCCCACCATAAGAAATTCTGGAAACATGAATAATTAACTACAAAGGATATTTATGAAAACTTCCTTTAAATCTAGTTCCCTCACTGAAGGTCAAGTTATGTCAATAGGTTGCATGCTGCTGTGAAGGCCCACATAACATGACATTGCCTTGCATCCACTGCCAGTACAGCTGCCTAGTATAGTATGTTAGATGACATCTTTTGTGCCTCTTATCTTCTTTAGGAGCAGTTTACTAAAATCTGATGTTGGCAGCCAATAATTAGTTAGATCCCTGTATAGTAAAAATTGTAAAACCACAGCATCATTTCCTGGAATGAAGTAGCTTAAAAATTCAGAAAAGTCACTGCAGCTTTAAATGTAATCCATCAGTAATAGCTGAAAATGGCTTTAGTCTGATGTCTGGGAATCTGACTGTTTATGCCAGTGGAATGCTGATACAGACCTTGCTGAGCTGCAGAGATGCAGAAGCTGAAAGATGTAGAGGCAAACAACAAAGCTCCCCTTCCTAAATTTAGCAAGAGCTCAAATGGCACAGTAAGGTAAGTTTTATACTTGCTGTCATATAGCTGGCCTAATGACTTTAGTCAGCAACCAATAAAGACAGACTGATAAAAAACACACTGTGTAAAGGATGGTAATAATCCTCCTTTCTGAATATTAAAGACAACTGAACACTAAAATATTAATATATTATTTTCCATCTTACAATTTAGATCGAGATACCAGTCTCTTCCAGTATGCCTTCGATTCCATATAGCTGAACCAATAGAGCAGATCAAAGACATGGCAATAAGGATGCAGAACAGAATCAAAATCTGAATATTCGTAATTCGTTCCACATTAGACATTTTAAGAGGTGGACTTGTTGAATTCTGCAAAAGACAAAAAACAACAATGGCTATTAAATATTAAAAAAACAATGGCTATTAAATATTAGAAGAGGTAATTCAAAAAGCGAGAGCTGTGTGTACATGTTACTGCATCCTTTGCTAAATATTCCCCTAAATATATCATCATAAATGGCATAACTGTTTCACCCAAAAGGAAAAAAAAAAAGCAGCAGCTTATAAATATATGAACTAGAGCTTTAGATCTGTGTCACAAGAAGTTTAAACAATCACACAGAATTTTCATAATAGCAACAGCTAACAGTAAACATTAAAAATGAATGTGCATACACCTTATCAGTGCTACAGAAGACAATTGCTAATACAAACAATCATACTTTTTTAAACTGTTCTACAAATCAGAAGAGCAATAAATAAGAGACATGCATGACCAATCTGAAAACATTCTTTTTTCTCAACAAATGCATCTCAATTTTGATATTTCAAAGAGCACTAGGAAAAGTAATTTCATAGACTGAGGATGTTTGCAAAATGAGGAGGGAAGAGAACCAAATAGTTTCACTTTGTCTTCTTACAAGAATGCTTACCTTTGTACTTGAAAGCAAGCTCCATAGAGGAGAAGTTTCAGGAACAGTCAAAAATAAAAAAAGATGAACAGGCAAACTATAATGATCCAACTTGCTAAGAAAATAGTTTTCAAAACACAAGTTTCTATTTTGTAACAACAAATACGCTTGCTGTGGAAAAACTACCCTGTGACTAAGTGACTAATAACAATGAGAAATTGCTTTATTTTTATTGGTTTTACTTCATAAGAAAGATGCTCTATTACTGACATTTTAACTATTATATGGAATCCAGCCATGCTTTCTGAAAGGGTTTTCTGTGTCGTGTAACGGCATAATAAGGTAGCAAACCAGATAAATCAGAAAAAAATCCAAGTGACAAACCTGCATAAGTTTTGTGTCATGTCCCGTATAGACAACTATCCCGTGAACCCACTGAGTATTTCTCAGCTGAGCTCCTCGTAGAAGAATCTGATCAGATCCCAGTGGAACAGTACTAGAAGGAAGGAGTTTTATATTTTAGCATTAAAACAACGAATGTCAATGAATAAGTGTAACCAGTAGTTGTTAAAACTTATTAGCTAATTTCTCAAAATTGAGACAATTACTGTATATATGCTAGGAACCTAATTTTCAGAGTCAATTTTTTGGGAGTGTTGACAGAGAGAAAACTTGACAGTTTAAAGCAAGTCCAAAAATTTAAGTTTGCAAAAATATTACTTAACACTTAATTTTGACTATGGACACTAAAGATATGGTACTACTCAGCAAGCATACTGAAAGTATCAAAGGCTAATTTTCCTTTGATTTCTGATTATGAAGTTTTTTTCTACATGTATGCTGAAACTCAATCACTCTTATAAAAAACTGCTTTGGAAAATCAATTTAAGTGAAATAATTTTCTGAGCTCTCTACTTAATTCACTCTTCCAGTGAAATAAATATCCTCTACGAACATGGTTGTTTAAAATTCACAACAGTATTTCCTGCACCTTCTTTAACTTGCAAAACCAAGCAAATTTGTGTTATTCTTTTAGAACTCCACTGAGTAAATGAGCAACAAAACCTCATAAGATGTTGGAAACATTTAACTGTCTTAAATTCAGACAGCTGACTATACATATACTGTAGCTCAGGTTTTTCTTAAGACATAAAAAGTTTTAGATATTTATTATTCTTTTCCTGAGACAAGACCCTATTTTAGCACTTTTCTTTCTATAAATACCAGCTAGCAGTTCATACTTGTCAATAGTGCTCTAGTGTTTGTCATTCTTACCTGAAACTATTATCTCTACAGTTGTTTGAAACCAACACATCATGAGAATTACAAATAAATTGCTTAATGACAGCAACTATATCTCTGATACATAAGCTATGAAGAGTCTGAGGAAGCCATGGTATTTGGTAACATTTTTGGCAGCACAAAGAACAGTCAGTCTCAGTGAGTAAGTTTCAGGTAATAAATTTTTTTTGGTGCATAATGGGCCAAGGCCAACTGTATGAAGTTTAACAAGGCCAAGTGCAAGGTCCCGCACTTCAGTCACAACAACCCCATGCAACGCTACAGGCTTGGGGAGGAGTGGCTGGAGAGCAGCCCGGCGGAAAAGGACCTGGGGGTGCTGGTTGACAGCCGGCTGAACATGAGCCGGCAGTGTGCCCAGGTGGCCAAGAAGGCCAACAGCCTCCTGGCCTGTATCAGAAATAGTGTGGCCAGCAGGAGTAGGGAAGTGATCGTGCCCCTGCACTCGGCACTGGTGAGGCCGCAGCTTGAATCCTGTGTTCAGTGTTGGGCCCCTCACTACAAGAAGGACGCTGAGGTGCTGGAGCGTGTCCAGAGAAGGGAAACAAAGCTGGTGAGGGGTCTGGAGCACAAGTCTTATGAGGAGCGGCTGAGGGAACTGGGGGTGTTCAGTCTGGAGAAGAGGAGGCTGAGGGGAGACCTCATCACTCTCTACAACTCCCTGAAAGGGGGTTCTGGTGACGAGGGTGCTGGTCTTTTCTCCCAAGTAACTGCGATAGGACAAGAGGAAACGGCCTCAATTTGCGCCAGGAGAGGTTAGATTGGGTATTAGGAAAAATTTCTTTACTGAGAGAGTGGTCAAACATTTGAATACACCGCCCAGGGAGGTGGTGGAGTCACCATCACTGGAAGTGTTCAAAAAAAAAAATGCGTAGATGTGGCACTTTGGGACATGGTTTAGTGGGCACGGTGGTGTTGGGTTGATGGTTGGACTTGATGATCTTGAAGGTCCTTTCCAACCTTAATGATTCTGGGATTCTGTGACGTCCCCTTCTCTCTTCTCATACACAACCTTTTAAGATTCAAAGACTGCAAGTAAAGAGGAAACAACACATTCTTCCTCCCCTAAAATTAACAGTGGCAATGTTAATTTGCAGGAAATAGAAAAAAATATTTGAGTGCTTTTCCATAAAAACCAAGCAAATAACAAACACCGCTCCACTCAAACTTAGTCCGCCTACTTTCTAGGAAACTAATATGGAGCATACTGACTGTTTAAGGAATAACTCTCCCCACCAAGTAAGTATGTTTCACCAACTGAAATGTTTAATGATACTGCCATGGAAAATAATTTCCAGGTGCAGGCACTTCATCAAAAGAAGAAACTGGAAAAAGAAAACTGAAATATAAAACATACTGAGATTTACTTCCTTTCTAAATTTGAACTGTACTGCTCTTGTATTTGAGATTTATTTGTATAATAGCAAAATTAAGACAATAAACGCCCCTCCCAATATGAAAGGAATTGCTGGGGTTACAAAAATCATTAAGAGGGACTCCTCTTGCCAAAGATTGCTTCTGCACTTATATTTATTTATTGTCATTCCTGCATCAGAATTATTCTAAGACTTTTGGTCCATCCATCAGCACAATAGCTAGACATTTCGGTTAAGGAATGAATTACATGTAATTCCAAGAATAATTAGACATTTTTAGTCTATTAACATTAACAAGAATGCTTGATGAAAGGCAGAGAAAAGCAGAGAAAGTTATTTTTAAGTTCCCCACAGATAAACTTGAAACCTTTCCCACTGTGGACCTTCTCTGGACATGCCAAAAGACTTTTTGTCCCTTCTACTAACACAAGAGTCTGTAGGAAGTCAGAAGTCAAAATCTTCCACTCTTAATTCTTCTATTCCTTGAAGAGTCAGTTAAGTTTTAAGACTCTTCCTGCCACCTCCTGATCTTCCTCTTAAAAACTGTGAAGAATATGCAGTAATGTCCTTTTTATTGCAGGATCCATTGATTCTTTTTTCCATCAGGACACTGGCTCTCAAATGGATACCCTTCTCCAACGCGGGACAGGAATTTATTCTCAAGGGTCTGTTACCGGGAAGACAACTGGGATTGCAGCCAGCAAGAGCTGTCTCCAGCAGAACTGCTGCACAGACCAAGGAGACAAAAACAGACAGCAAAACAGCCAGAGACATAAAAAGCCCAGATCTGCCAGGTGTCATGCTGATCCTTAACACTGTGATCTCACCCCACTCTCTAATGACATGATGGTGCAATGACCTGATAGAGCTCTCAAGTCTCCATTTCCTGGCCTTGGCCTTCTCAAAACTGCTCCAACTCACCTAATTCTTGTATGCTACAGTAACTAATGACTCCTCAGCAACATATTTGGGTTGTATTTGGTAAGGGATGCTCTCAGTGAGGAAACACCCTTTCAGCATACTTTTCTGCCAGGGCTATCAAGGGTATTTTAAGAGATAATAATTTCTAAGACACAGCTGAAAGTTTACGTATCAAAATGTTTTTCTTAATAAGCATACTTCACTCTTATCCAAAATTTTCTTAAGAATGTTTTCAGGAAAACATTTACTTTAGGTCTGGCTAACCAGTACCTGCCCTTGTTTTTTAACTTGCTCATCCTTTTCCTCTGAGCCGTTGTCTAATCATAATTTCAAATTTATCCAGGCTAAAGAACTTTTCCCTTTTCTCTAGGCTAATTGTCTTTACTGCCAGAAACCAAGTGACATGCTTCTGTATATTCATGAGCATAACAAAGGGCTGCACACTTTGCAGATAAGAGTTAACACACTCAAAAGCTGAGGATACGACGAAAAATTTTTTGGCCTCTTTTAGTCCACAGATTTAGCCAAAAGGCAATATGACTGTAGTGGAGTTCCACCTCCTTGAATACTGACTATACAAAAGGAGGGGGGGTGGGGGGAAAGAAAAAAAAAAAAAGAGAACCTCTGGGTTTTTTAGTTGCTTTCCCATGAAGGAAAAAAGGAAAGAATGAAAAGGTCAACTAGATACAACATTTATGGCACTCCAATTGAGTTATCTGAAGGGAAAAGAAGACAGAAGAGGGAGATATGTTTACAGTATCCTCCACTGCTTTTGCAAAAATGTTAAGATGGTAGTGGATAAAGTGGAAATCACAACTGCTAGATCTACATTATCTGGTAGGAAGGTCTTAAAGGTCTAGATAAAAAAATACCAGTTAGATGAACCTGTGCTACCTCTAAAATGAGCAGAAAGATAACTCATCCCTGATTCTTCAGGTTGGAAATAAGGTCAGGATCCAAAAAGAGTTACTTACCTGCAATTCTTTTTCACTGAAGTTAAATATTATATTAGAGCCACACTTTTGGAACTATCCTACTGCACAGGAACTATATTCCAAAACGGAATTTCTCAAATGACAAATTGCTTGACCAGCAGATGGCATGCTCCTACACATTCTTGAGGTATAATAGCCATCAGTGCTTTCAATGCTTCCCTTTTAAATCAAATTTCACAATTAAATAATTAGATTAAAACGACAAATATGTTTTTTCTCTCTAGCCAGGGAAGAAGGATGAATGTGTGGATCTATTATAACCATTACCTTCAGAGAAGAATTACAGGTAAATGTTTTTCTCTTCTTAACCACAAGTACAGTGGAATTATAATAGATCCACACTCTTGCAACTGAAAACTCCCAGAATGCATCTGTAAGAAATCAGTAAATAAAAAATGGAATATAAAAAAAAGTATTTAATAATTAGTTAGTGCTATATATATCAGTGTAAAACCACAAATGTGAATAATATTGTATATGGAGAAATAAATGCCTACGAAATAAAAAAGAAATCCTGTACATCTTTGGGAATGAAGGACTCAACAGTTCTGTACTCCTAATACGTCACATTTGGTTTGAGTGCATAGAAAACTCCAAATATCAATATTTGGTAAGCACTTAAGTATTTTAAGAATTTTTGAAGCAGTTTTACAAGCATGTAATTGCACTGAGGTTGTCTCTCTTTACAGAAACATACTTTCAGGAAGCTAAAGTATTAAATGTCTTTCAGCTACCAAATTAGAAGAATTTGAGGTATATAGTGATGGACTCAGTTCCACTCCAGACTTACACAAACAAAAGAAAACAAAACAAACAAACAGACAAGAAACTACTTCTATTCAGTTTCTATAATAGAAACTTAACAGGCAAGGAATGAGATGCTTAAGAGGTGAGTTACTAGGTACATATTCCAAAACTATTAGAATTTTATTAGCACTCCCTTCTATTATTAATAGCTATTGCTTTATGAAGGTCAACTAGTACAAAAACTCAAGTTGTAGACATTACAAGTACAGTTTTACCCCTCAAGTTTTGTTAAAGAATAAAGTCTAATAAAGAATACATCAGAAAAGATTTTTACTTCTCTACTCTTAACAGAGTAAAGACTTTACTATTCCTATTTTAACTTTGGTAGTTTAACAACATATAGCGATGATCTTCCTTGGATTTACATACCCATGCCCATCCAGTCTGATGTTTCCAACAAAGTCATAGAGATGTCGGTTTGGGCTCTCACATTCAATTCTGCCTGAAAGTCTCATCAAGCTTTCTATGTCCTTTATGTCTGATGTTAGTGGCAAACCCTGTAAACAAAATTAGTTTGTCATGACATTAAAAAACAACACTTTCCAATATATATCTCTCTCTATATTATAGATCTGATAGTGCAAAACCAGAAAACCTATATCCCTATGGGAACAAAACGGGACTGCTACACTTCGCTGTCACATTGCTGGATGCTACAGAAAGTGAAAAAGTCACCTTGGTATCTTAAAACATCATGATGAAGACAGTGTCATAACCCATTGTATAACTCAGCAAGAATGTCTCTGCATAGAGACAGCACACTCAGTCAAAAACTGTCATTCCCTACCTGTCTCTCAAGGACAATACTGGCACTGTCAGCTTCTTTCTTCAGGGCTTCTCCCTCATCTATCCTCTAAAAACAAAACCAAAACCCGACTACAACTCTTTCCACCTATTTTCCCAAAGAAAATCCCTAAAACAAAGTGCCAGGTATGGCTTAGGAGTAACCGCTCATTCTTTCCACTTAATTAATTGAACAAAAACTTTTATGATGTCAATAACCCACAGGTTTTTATTCAAACCATTAAGATTTCACAGTCTTCTAGAATGGCCATTAATGTCAAAATATATGTTTATAAGCAGTAATAGAGTAAAATAATATTAGCAATATTCTCAAAAATGAAATTCCTACCTGTCGAATTTTTAGGTTTGTCTCACCATCTAAGTTAGATGTTTCAATGTAGCACATAGCTTGTGGTTCACTATTAAGAAAAAAAAATCCTTAATTTTAAATTATAATGTCAAAATCCATGAACTTGTAATCTATTAATAGCTATTTATGCAATTGTTTTTTTCTTATGAAATCTTCAGAACTACAACAATTTACAGCCAAATCTGTACAATCAACAGTACTTTACATTTTCAGAAAAGTTTGCCAAAACCTCTCTCAGATGAAACACTGCTAAAAATGCTGTACGTTTTCTAAGTTTTTACATGAGATTAAGATACAACCAGAAATGATTTGTAGTGCCTACTACTGTAGGCAGCAGTAGTTTAGACATGAGTTTTCTTATAAAGGGTTCTCTTACATGCATAACATAACACAACTTTTGAAATATATCTGTCCTCTATGCAATTTCCAAAGCTTTTTTATAAATTAAAAGTTTTACGCTTATGCAGAACATTACTACTAGTTAATCTATTTGACATATACTGATAAAAGGCTTATTGCATTTATTTTTTCAATACAATTTTTTTGATGTGTAACACAGAAGTATTTTTTGTAAATACTTTCCAATTTTAAAACATATTACAACCTTTATAGAAGGAAAACAGAGGTACAGAAGGACAAAACTTTTCTGCAAGTAGATAGTAAACAAGAACAGGTCTCTCAGTCAGGATTTCTGAATTACTCCACTCAGCTCCCATTTTCTGGACATGAGGACAGAATACCTACTACAGATACCTACAATACCTACAATAGAAAGAAGTTTTGATCCTGTAATGGAATAGAGAAGTCCTAAAAATTCTTTACAAATGAAACCAATAGCTGTTTACTCTCTACAGCACTTGAAAGCTTTTAATATTTTCCTTCTTTCTAGTATGAAATTCAAGCATCAAGTGTTTTTTAAAATTTCCTTTCTTAATGCAACAGTGGCTACTGATAAGCAACTTAGATTTAAAATGCTTGCAGGATGAAGTTATGTAGGTTATTTTAACATCTTTGTAAAGCAAAAGCATTAAAATGTGATAAATCATTATCAAATTCCATTCAGGCTAGCTTTTTCTTCTTGGCAAACTTTTCTAAATATGTAAATGACTTCTGTTTAGATCATTTGAATGGAGTCACCTGTATAAAACATCATTACAATTCTAGCATTTTTATTAGTTAATAGTAAAAAACAAACAATATTTTTGTGAAGCACTTTTAAAACACACTAAGGCAGCAAAGACATTTCAAGTGAGACACATGCTTAATTGTAATTACTGTAACAGATAGCAGTGACCTCCAAAGTAAGTAAGTTACAGTTAGATCGAGGCAGGCCCATTGATTTGTTAGGGAAAAACAAAGTGCGGTAACAGTGCAGACAATAGCATAAAGCTGACGTGTCTAAGAAACATGCATTTTGTCACAATTCACAAGAACAGCGCTGCTTTCGCCACTGCATGCAGCAGAGATTGTGCAACATCCAAGTTTGTGCAGAGGGTCCTCTACCAGTCCTATCAATATTAAACTATATTCTTTGCCGCAAATAGCGGGTTGGTATAAACACGTATATTCTTCTTAATTTGCTCTAAGGATTTAAACGTATATTTATCCTGGTGTTTATTCAATGATAAGTTTTCTAATAAAATTTCATGGGTATAGTGTAAAAACAGAGAGGACTGAAACAAATTTTCATTTCTTGGAGTGTTACCGTGTATTTACACTTTAATGATCTGTACTTTTATGAACTGAACCCTTTCTAATTTTATAAATGTCTGGGTTTTGGTGATGAAAGGTGAACAGCAAAGCAAAGATTATCCGCACAGCAGTGTTCATATTTGGTATATGAGGACCCACGTACACGTATCCTGTGCAACTAGTTTATTCTAACCTTGATGACAGACTGATGAGATCAGCTGGGAGATGTTCCCCATTGGTCACTTTCACTACTTCCCCTACTGCCACCTACACATCCCAGTTTGAAAATGATTAGAACAGAAAAATAAGTGACGGGAGGGGGGGGGAACACAACAAAAAAACAAAAAACCCAAAAAATGAACAAAGACAAAAAGACAGAGTTTGAAATTATTATACAAACAATACATGTTAATTAAAAGTGTCTGATGACAATTTTTTCAAAATCTATTTTAATCAGGTCAGAAAGAAAAGAGCTAGAATATTTTCATTTTTACTCAAGTCGATTGTTTTACTGTAAGGCACCACTTTTAAGCTGCAGAACACATCGGTATTGTACAGTAAAAATAAAAAGCTGTTATGCTTATTTCTCAACTGACAAAGTTTCTAGCCACTCTGTACCTTAATTAAAAAAATAAAAGCCACAACAAAAGATTTTCCACCAACTTTTCAGAAAAGTCAGGTGACAAGAACCTTTCTATGTAGACATTCTGAAAATTATTTTATATTTTATTTCAGCTTTGTAAATTTCAGTTTACACTGAACTAGCAAGAACCAAGCAAAATTCAATCTCCGAGGTTTGTGTACTTCCAATATAAGAGCTTGTAGTTTCCTAAAATAATTAAGATCTTTTTACCAGCAACAGCAGTTTCTAGAGAATAAGAACCAAATATTATTAGTATGAATTAAAACCAGGTCTACAGGCTCACATTGCTGTTGAAATCTAAAATGTAATTGGGCATCAATAAACACCTGGAAAGCAAAATTGATGAGACTGTCTTCCTGGAGAATGCATGGCCACGGAGATGAGAGGTGGAGAAGGAGAGCACATGCCAGTATGCAGGCAGAATTAGAGGCAATGTAGTAGCACAGGGTTTCTCTCCTGGAAGGAGTGTTATATTGCTAGAGTCCTGCTGCAGCCAAGAACGAAGTTTTAGCTGGAGGAAATGCCTGAACTGGGCCCAGAAACAAAATCATGACTCAAGGAATCTCCTTCGCAAACTGGATCATAGAGGAAAACCTGACAGGAAAATTCAAGGATGAGTAATGGTCATAGTTGGGACAGTGTGTTCTGATAAGGGGAGTAAAGTGATGTTAAGCAAAGAGGTAACAGTCTTGACAAGTCCAGTAGCAGCTAACTAATATTTCAATTTATCAACACTTGATGTAGGATTCCTTGAGGAGGGACAAGGCTCAGAACGCAGGTTCTGCAGGCAGTTGGTATTTTTCTGTGTGTAAACTACAACTGGAGAACACTGTGATGCAAGTGACCTCAAATCCAAAAGGGCAAAACAGTGAAGACATCTAGGAGCTTACTCAGCAAGAATATAAAGAAGTTGCTCTGAGAGGATGTAATCTGTTTTGTTTGCAGAACTCTAGGGTTAGCATGACAGAAGCTATTATCTGGCCAACAGAACAAGTGTTCTTTGCTGCATGGTGTATTGCCTATGAAGATCTTGGTGGAGAAGCACCAATAAAATTTATAAATGCTTCTCAAAGTGCAGAAGTAAAAGATTTATAGGAGATACTCAACACAAAAACATCTTAAGTTATAACAATCATTAGTACTGAAGACAGACTGTGGGGAAATTTACAGTATTATCTGGCAACACTTTACACTTAATAGGAGTGTTTTAGAAACAGCTACATTTTAATTTGGAGATATAATGGAAGATTGAATAAACAACGTACTAGTCTACACCAAGTCTGTCACAGAAACGCGTAAGATCCTAACCTTATTAATTTTATGTATGAGTGGATTCATTAACTTCAGTGGGATCATAGAGAGTTTATACCTAATCCATAACCATACACATCACAATAATGCTTCTGCTTGTGCCAGAAAAAATATGGAAGTTGCATTATACACATACAGTAGTATCAACATACAATTAATCATATTTAAGTAATATTCAATATTAAAAAAATTCTTACAATATGTTGTCTATTGACCTGATCAAATAGATGTTGAAAAATGTGCATCTTCCACATAAGATGTGGATTTCTTAAGTAAAACTGTCCAAGGAAATGATGATAAACAACCTTTGATTTTCCATGTAAAAAGTCACGGCATTACATGCTATAAAATAAGTCTCTTTCAGCACTGAAATAATTAATAATATATATATCAGAGAATAAAGTGGATACTCAGCTCATAAAGACAGTGCTAATTTGATGGTTCACATCTCATGTTCACTTTTTTTCCTGATTCAACTATCAAACTAGTGACTACATCCATTATAAACATTTCTGTTCCCTGTAGTATATCCATTTTAATTTTATTTGTAGGATGCAATTTGTTAGGTACGTATCAAAAAGCCAACCTGGTTAAATATGGCAGTTGAAGTCCAATTTTCAGACAGAGAATCAGCCTTTTTTGTATTATATCCAACAACAAAATAACATACTAAGTTTTTCTTAGCGGTAAATTAAATGCCAGTGTAATTTTAAAACTGTAATTGTCACAGTTTAAAGAAACACTGCCTGAAGTGATAAATGCCCAAATGAACAAAAGACTACACTTCAGAACAGCAGCATTTTTGTTTATTCCTTATTTCCTTGGAGCAATCACAAATAAATAAATAAATAAATGCAGGGTAGAGAAACCAGCCTCTACACTATAAGCATCAGTGGGCATCTCTACCTTGATGAGAGCAGTACAGTGTCAGCAGGTATATACTCTTTGCCTTTTATTATAACTATATCTCCAACATCTACCTGAAAGAAAACTGGGAATTGGTTAATGGTCTCAAACAAAATATGTTATCCCTTTGTTTTAAGCACAGTAAATATTTACCTGCTGAATTTGCTAGAAAGACTGTTAGAAAGTCACACACTTAGAGAAGCCTATAGGTATTAGGTACTCAAAGGTCACTGGAATTCTTTGGAAATCTATTCTTTAATAGGCCCAATCCTGACCTTCTCAATGCAGTTTTTCACTTTGGCTAGTTATTGTAAAATACTTTATTAGAAGACTGAAGTTAAGTTAAAGAAGAATTAATCTCCCCTAAGATCACAGTTCTGTTGCATCACACTATATACCTCATCCTTGCTTCTCCAAAGACATAAATCAATTTCATCTGAACCTTGCCTCCAAATTACTACGGGTCAAATTTTGTTCAAGCTTTCAGGTATGGAAAGCAATAAAACTAAGGGACTAGACAGACAGCATAACATTTAGTCATTGAAAGCTACCTTTAACAGTCCCTTCCTAACTACTGCATAACGGTCTTTTAAAGTTCTCATGGTTTAAGCCAAGTAAGTTTAGCAAATACACAAAGTAGCTAGTTTCCAGAAAGAAGTTTCTGCCTTGGCACACCAAATAGTACTAAGGAATTGTATGATTTTGCCACATGTGAATACTCCGAAGTCAATCATATTATTCAAGTTATTTTTCCACTGAACTTAAAGCCCACCATTTAATGGCAGTTTTGCCTGACTCATGAATCAAAACCGACTTGACTTAAAAGTACATTTTAAGAGGCAAGTGTTAACAAACAAAAAATGAAATACAAAAGATCACGCATCTCCCATCATACCAGTTAATCCCTATCAATGACAATTATCTGGAGAAATAAAGCAAACATTAGATCTGCATTATGCTCTAAAGGTCACCAACATAAACACACACCTTTTCCCAGTGGACAATCTCCCATGCACCGTTTCGTAGTACTGAAAAAAAGAAAAAAGAAGAAATAATTTTCCAGTTGTACAGTCTAACTGCAGTATAGAAGTATGTGTTAGATTCCTTCAGAATCACAGCTCATTTACACAGCATTTTACAGCATTCTTTGTTTCTACAAATTCAGGTCAAAAATTTCAATTATACAGCACATATTCTGCATAATAGTTTTTGTGCCATAGATGCTTATTACAAAGTCAATCAGATCATTTTACAGGGTTTGAGAATCAACTAAATCTGATACAGGTTGTGTGATAATGTGGTGTTTCCGAAATTAGTAATTGGAATACAAAGTTCCAAAGTAAAAAAGTTATGATTATTGGGGGGGCAGGAATAAATTCAAGAATTTTTTCTCAGTTCGAACATTTATGAGGTTCATCCAAAAAAGATTCATAAAAAGCCACCAGCAGCCTTCTTAGGATTCAGCTGTTCCTAGTGTTAATGGCATGTCAGAGAACTTTAGGATCATTGCAGTCATATCCTCCATAATCCCCAAAATCAACCCGTGCCATTTAGTGTAAGATTTAGTATGGATCTTCTCTGGCAGTAGCAATTAATATTGCAAGCCCACACCACTACTCCGGTTTTAAGTATTGCTACTATGATACAAAACCCATGCCTTGTTTGCCCATTAATTAAAAAAGATTGTGTTTTCAGAGATTAATAAAGGTGATTTTTTTTTATTAGCACCAGTTACAAAACTATTGAAAACTGATGTGCAAAAAGAAAATGAAATTGAAAGAAAAGGTATTGCCATGTATCAATAGTCAGATGGCTCCAAGAGATTGTTCTCTTTCTCTGTGTCTCCCAGCTTTCAAACTGTCAGGATGCTTATCTAAGTACCTGATCAGGATCCAATTCTTATGCAAGCATGTGTTGATTTCAAAAAAGCAGATGAAAATCTGGGAATACATCTAAGTCTTCCTTGAGGTTTTGCCCAAACTGACGGCTCTTCCTGTATACCTCAAGGATTTCTGCGAGTCATTATCCAACCTGCTTAATAATTCTTTAGGAAGAGATAAATTCTCTTACCCTTCCTTCCCCCAGATTTATTAGTGCTACGGTATGGTATGCTCAGGGCAATAGTAAATGGAGCAGTCTCCCTCTCAGACAGTAAATCTATTTTGACAAACCATTTCCCTTCATTGAGGAAACTACAGATCCAGAGTGAAGACTGGTTGTAATACTGTCCTAAGGAAGCCCAGACATGGGGTAATTAATTGTTCCATCAACTACCTACTTCCATCCCCTTGTGTCAGCAATACTGTTTCTGAGGCCATGGTATCAACCAGGTGCGGGAACTGATGAGGATTAAAAATACACCTTGCAGCAATCCAGGTGACTACGCTTCACGAATAGCTATAGTAAAATAACTGCCAGTCGAATTCTGCAAATCTGAAATGTAAATAAGCTGCCAGAGGTGGCCAAGGGCTTCTTAAAAAGTTCTGGCTGCAGAAGCACTTGCACTGCTGAAATACATGCTATGGCTGTTTCACGCGCAGCCAAGCTGACCTAACTTAGCGCTGCCATTACGGAAGGGAAGGTCCTGTTCTGCCCTCACCCCATGCAAAGCTGCCTGCCCTCGCTGCTTAATGCACATTGCCTCTGGCGTTTGTCGGACCCTTTGATGAGCCAGTTTAACCCACTAAATGGAAGGAAAGCGTCAGTTTTTCTTTCTGGATTTGTTTCTTGCTGGTACAGCTGGTTAAAAATCAGCTCACAAATGGATGTCAGACTCCTTGAAAAGATGCTGAGACACCTGAAATCTCAAGAGTGCTCTAACCCTAGCTTGATGCAATAAGCTTTTAAGCACAATTAACATACACTGACATTCAATTAAATCAATTTTCTTATGAGAACAAAATAATAAGTGGTGGTGTTAGGCACCTTTTATATAACGGCTAGAGAACTTGTGCCATGAAGTCTTCTGCAGTCTGGTTTTCACATTTGTATCTCCCATTTTTCAGCTGTTTCTAAAAACTAACTTTCAAAAGCATGCTCCATCTGCCGTACACAGACTACTTCACCACACTGCAGAAATGCACATTTCATCATGTCAGAGTGTCTGACAGCGTCCTGCTGTAGATATATGCAGCCTGAGGTAACAAAAATCATCCCTAATGCAGCCTAATAAATCAAATCCTTTGCAAAAGTTTTTTTTTTATAGTAATGGAAATTTAGAAAGTTTATTACTTAAAGTTCACTGAGATACAGATGGTCTTAAAGGAACAAACAGATGGAGGGAAACCCATATACAGAATCCATACATGCACATCTCATTTCATGAACAATTTTGTATGTTTAAAAGACAACCAGAGGTGGAGCTGGATATATAAGGTACTATGCACATTGCTACTTCTCAGGGTTACAGAACTGCTGAACACATGAAAACAAAGTAAGAGAGTACCATACTGATTAACTTTTTAATTATTGCTTTGACAATAGACTATATTTGACAACACATTTAAATATTGCTTTGAGAGTACACTAGGATTCGTGTTGTACCAATGAACCTGCATTAGCTTAAGGAACTTGTTTCTTAGTGCTAGCAGTATCTTTATGTATCCTCATTACACTTTCAACTTCCAAGATGCTCTTTTGCATGCATGGAACATTGAGGAATTTTAGAAACAATTACCAAAAAGCCTAACAAGAGGTAACCCAGGCAAAGAGGCAGGAAAGCCAATAAAACAAGTCTTTTATTACTGTAAAACTTTGTACCTTCTGGACAAAAAAAAAAATTGAAAAGGCACTTCACGATTCACTGCCACCTAAAACTGCTGGTTGCAGTCTCAAAAGCTATGAGTGTGTGATGAAAGAATTTTATATGTCTACATTAAGCTTTCCTTTGTTTTTTATGTACAGATAAGAGGTTATCTGTTTCTACAGTCCTGTTCTCTGGAGATTTCTATTCCTAGTGCTTTCAGTCAATAGACTTGTCTCCCTATCCTAATCTCTCCATACCTACTATTGAGTTACATGCTCTGCAGTTTCATAAATTATCTTCCCTGCTCCATCCCCCATGAATTTTACAGTAAACTTTAAGATTTACATACAACTTAAGTAGGCTTCAAAATTTATGTTTTTAAATTAGCGACATTTCCTGTGGTTAGAAGTGCTCAACAATTCTGATTATCTTTAGTCAATGACTACATCCCTCCCTAAAAAATCTTACAGTTATGTTTGTTATTTATTTAAAAAAGTTTCCATATAAGATTATCCTCTTTGTGGCATTTTTCATACTTTCTGCAATCAAATTCACATGACACTCAATCCCCTTCCTGTCTTTAAAAACAGGACCAGCTCTATCAAGAGAGGGATACCTCAGAACAAGTAACATGAAAAGCTAGAGCAGCAAAGCAGGAACTTAAACTTGGACTTCCTACCTGACAAGCATGTTTAGGACATATTAGCTAACATCACCCTCACTTTCTGAGCTAAAATAATCCTCCAATTTAATACTACTTCTTTTCTTTATTATAATCTTAAAAAAAAAAAAATCACATTCCAAGTTTTTGAAAATGAAATTACTCAATATTTGCTAGTTGAAAAAAATTATGATTTGTATACTTAGAAAAGCATAGACTTTTCATCATAACCTAGACCTGCTAAATATAGTGGTGATTATGCTCTTTTAACAGGTACGGCATCACCTGTGATAAATGAGTAAATGTTAAAGTTTCTTAGAAACCTCATAAAATCAATCTAGAACATATTCCCTTTTGTGGCGCTAATGTGACCGCAAATTGTTATTTCAACTGTTTAGATTCCAAATTTTGAAGTAATCTGCATAAGCAATTTTCCACTCAATTTTCTGTCAGCAGTTCAGATTACATTACTACCATTTGCAAAAATTACCCCCCAACCCACAATTAATAGGCTTTAAAAAATTTCCTACCTTGAGTTTGTTTCTTGTTCACCGCATTATCAGCTTTATGCCTTTTCTAAATTAAAAATGCACAGTGGTTAAAGACTTTTGTTGTCATGATGAAGCTTTCAGACTTAAGATAAAAAACACATGTATTACTGCCTCCCACTCATGAATTCAATAAACCGATTTAAAAAACATTTTAAACAGGACTATGGATTACTGGCATAGT